CGAGCATAGGTCCGTGCTGGGTCCGAGTCCCTTTTTTTGAGTCCGGAGGTCCGGCGGGCCGGATCGGGCTGTGTTTTGGCCAAGTCTCCTTATACTTATCATCATCTTTTGGAAAGTGAATAATATATTGTAGGCAAGATTTTGTTAACTAGTTTTAGGCATGTTTTCTTTACAAAATAGTTTAAACAAATTTTAGGTGATTCCACATCTTTCAATGATATATAAAATTTTAGATATTTTGCATACGTTGTATAATATTTTAGGTGATTTTAATATTTTAAACATACAATTTTTTTATGTTATTTTATACAAGATAATTTTATATGGTTTGCAACTGATATACGATAAACTATGTCACGTGTTAACTCCAGACCTTCATTTTTATAATTACTAGTACAATACCCGTGCGATGCATGGGGTTATTATCTCCGTCCCTTTTAAAAAGCAACTTTAAGTTAAAATTCAAAGTACTTACTAAAGGAAAAGATCATGTCATTAATAATTAACAAATTAATAAGTATAATGAAATAAAATCTATATATTATTGAACATTGCCTTATATAAAACGTTCATGGTTTGATTCTTTGGCACGTCATCGTCGCCACAAATTAGGATTTTCAAACCATTTCTGTTTGTGATACGGGAGACAACAACATACAACTGGCTATGACAAATCACTGGTTTCTTAAGAAATAAGCCCACATACAAATGATTGTCCATGCTCTTATTTATAGTCATGACATAAGAAACCATAATGAGAAACTATCAACGTTGGAACTTAAAATGAATTCTACCATTATAAGGAGTTATAGCCACTCTTGGAATCAACACTTTATCACTTGCGCGATAGCCAGTGAATATCTTACGCCCGAGAACATGAGTGGAGAACTTTGTCACAACCAATCATGTCTCATTACATAGACCCATAAAGGAGATATAGTAACAAAATGTCAAGTTAAAAAAGAAAGAAGTAGCTTAAGAAATAAGATCATGCTTATCAATGTGACATAATGTTTACAAAAATTAATGGAGTTTGATATGC